TGGAACGCTTCACGATTTTGCGTGTCATCCTTGCGCAGGGGCCATGCTAATCTTCTCTGTATCGTTCCAATTTTAGTATATGTTCTGCCGTAGCAAGAACTTGTATTAATTAAGTAGAGATGTTATTATTATTATTATTATTTTAATTTTAGACTAATGAACTGAATTCTTAGACTAAGAAAAAGACATTGAGCACTAGCAACACAGGCTATCGGCTCTAATTTAAATAAATGGATATTAGATAATGAGCTTAGTAGTATTTAAGTAGGGATATCACGGAATATGTGTAATTATTATTATGATTTGCTTTAATAATTTTTATATAGAGAGAGAATTGAAATGAATTGAATTTGAATTTTTTATATATTAATATTTGAAATTCTCTAACAAATTATGTTATGTTGTTCGTGAACTGCTGCTTAAACTGCACCTTGTGCATTTACAATCTGTATATATGCAGGTGTGTGCGAGAACAAACACTTAGTTTAGATCAGAGATTTTTGCATTATATATGTTTGATTTTTATTATGAGAAAAAGTATTGCGCGTTTATATTAAACTTTCTATGCGTAGAGTAGGTTACCCTGCAACAACATATGTTTCGTTAGGAAACAACTGATAAGGCATAGTTTGTGTCAAACAAGCGATTATTTATTTTATTGGATAAGGTCAGAAATTAATAATAAGATCTTCTTTCACTTAAAACTTAAACATACGACAAAGGATTGGGTCAAAGATCGACGATAACGCTGCATATTCTCGATTAAAACAAGTCGTGATTGGATCAGATGAAGTTGTATAAACTCTATACGCATCAAAAGGCCTATAGTGGTAATTTATATGAAATGCTAAATAAAATTCTTATCAGAGAATCATTTTAAACAATTTTCTCTTTTATTACTTAGATGCTGATTTGTTAATTAATAATAAAGAGCATCCGGATGCGAAACTTAGCGATATAGTTGAAGTATATCATCGCGATGATGAGGAAAACACTAGACTGTTATTACAGATAACAAAGTTTAATGATCTTAAAAATCGTGATGCAATTAGCATTGAATCGGGAGTCGCAACCCAGTTTAAATTACGACCGTTCACCGATGTCATAATGCGGATCGTTGATGTTTATGATGTTGCATTGGATTCAATCGAAATAACATTTAAAGACCAATATATGGGCAGATCGGAAATGTGGCGATTAAAAAAGTACTTGGTACAGAATGCAATCGAAAATATAATAATATATATTATATATAGAGATTTTTTAAATATGATTTATAAATTTTATCATTTATTTCAGACCAACACATGTGTTTATGTAAATAAAAAAATTGATTACAATGATATGCAAATACGATGCCAAGTCTATGAAATGTGGTCGCAGGGTGAACGCGTTTCTTGTGGTGTTATTACAGACGATACAAAAATTGTCTTTCGTAGTAGCACGTCAATGGTTTATTTGTTCTTGCAAATGTCTTCCGAAATGTGGGATTTTGATATACATGGTGATCTTTACTTTGAAAAATCTGTTAATGGCTTTCTCACTGAACTGTTTCATAAATGGAAAAAACTTGGTTGTAATCATGAAGTTACCATTGTACTCTTCTCACGTACATTTTACGCTGCCAAATCATTAGAGGAATTTCCCGAACATATGAGAGACTGCCTGCAAATGGATTATAAAGGGCGATTTTATGAGGACTTCTATCGCGTAGCTATTCAAAATGAACGCAATGATGATTGGTGTACAGTTTTGGGGCAATTACGTAAACTTTTTACTACCTATCAGTCGACCGTTTTAAGCTATCACTCACGTGACAGTATTGATGTACCGCCTGCTTATAATTCAACAGCGGCCCAAGGAAACTTTTTAGAAGTTTTGAATATTTCCCTAAATACTTTTGAGAAGCATTACTTGGATCGTACATTTGACAGAACGGGGCAATTGTCAGTGGTCATTACACCAGGCGTAGGTGTATTTGAAGTGGATCGCGAGCTAACAAATATAACTAAACAACGGGTAAGTAAATACTAATGTCAAAAAAAAATTTACATAAATGATCTATAAGCCATTTAAATAACGACATGTTCAGATTATAGATAATGGTGTCGGTAGCGATTTAGTGTGTGTGGGAGAGCAGCCTTTGCATGCCGTGCCGTTGTTAAAATTTCATAACAAGGATACGACATTGACATCTGCTGATGATTATTCTTTGCCACATTGGATTAATTTAAGCTTTTATTCCACTAATAAGAAAATTGCTTACTCAAATTTCATACCACGTATAAAATTACCAGCCATGATTGCAAATGCTCCCATTCATATGAATTACAATAGCGTAAGTAGTAGATAAGTGTGTGCATGTGCTTTATTATTTACGTATCATTTCCATCTCGCAGGAAAACGAGAAAAATTTTTTGAGTTGCAATCAATCTGAATATATACACAATTCTTTATTCGATTATGAAGCCTATGACGATCAAATATTTCAAGCACCACCAGCTCAGGGTACATGGTAAGTGAAATAAAATTTCGAGTTTAATTTTATATTAAATTAAAAGAGCGTTATATACAGTTCTCTGCAACATGTGATACGTGCAAAGAAGACTTCAGTGCCCAGTTTAGAAACTTATGCTTATCAAAACAATGATTGGGAAAATTTTACGCCTATTAAATTGCCTACGTTAAGGCGTAAAATGTCTGATCCTGATATACATCATGGCACGTCCGGAATTTTGGCCGCTATGGTAAAATTTATGCGATATTCAATGTATATACATATGTATATATATATATATATATATGTGTGTATTTATTTTTTTTTTCGATATTTCAAGACGGAAGCGACTAACTTATCAGAATCATTGGCTTCAGAGAAAAATACACGTCGTTCAATTGTCTCTATTACGCCTATAGTCAGGCCTGGGCGTGCCCTAATTAATCCATTTGATCCTTCACATGTTACCATAAAGCTTACATCGAATAGGCGACGATGGACACACATTTTCCCTAAAGGTCCAACGGGTGTACTAATACAGCAGCATCATTATCAGGCAGTTCCCGCGAAACCGCATAATAATAATTTGAATAGCAGTAATGAAAATGATTACTCATCTTGTTACAATTCCATGGACTATGATCATACCTCGAACTGTTCATTTTCCTCCAATAGTGGTGATATAGAAAAAGTTGATTGTGTGTATATATGATCAGACGACTGCTTCAATATATGAACAAGCAAATAATGAATTGATTAATTTACAGTTTTAAAGAAACGCAATAGCTCCCTGTTGAGTCCAACTAATTTAATTACAAATGCCAATGGGGCCACGGCGCCAGCGAAAAGTTTTCTATGGGGCGCCACTGGCGAACAGGAGTGGACTCCGGCTATCACTACAGGTATTTGCATTCCTCGCAATTATTATATTGGAGGCGCGTTTATCCGGATTGTTGTGTTATATGTAGCCATTGATTAATTCAGCTGATGTTCTGTTTTTCTTTTTTGTTTTTTAATTTTAGGTTTTTTTTTTTTAACAAAATACACGATCGCACGTTCGTAAACATTTCAAGCGTCCGTTTAGTGAATTTTGTTAAAAACATTTTTTTTTTTTTTTTTTTTTTATTTGGTCTTTTAAAGTTATTGGTTTTTTAAAGAGTGAAGAATTCTCGAGCATTAACTGGAGATTATTTAAGGTGTAATTAAACATTTTTGATGGGTTACTAGCAATCTCATTAATTGTCTAATGTTTTTTTTTTTTTTTTTCAAATTTTGAAAAAAAAATTCTTAAAATTAAAGACGATATACATACATAGATATGTACATTAAAGCAACGAGATGTTGATATTCAGTTCAATATTGTTTATAAAACACTAATCCCTTGATTTGTACTGCGTATGTGTTCTTCGAAAACTACTGCAACATATAGATAGACATTTACTGTAAAATATGTAGAAATCAACTTAAAGAACAAAGAGTTGATTTGATAATCAACCCGCAACATGATAGTGAATATATAAGAAGGAAAATTGGTTCATTAACTCTCTTAGGGTTGCCCTATATATATATATATATATATATATCAGTCTATTTACCAAATTCAATTTTCATTGCTATTTGAAATTACAATGACTACCCAACGTTCGAATCATTCTTTCAAAAATAAGATTATTATGGCTTTCTCGCCCAGTTGAAACCGTTCAATAATAACTTTACTAGAAGCATTTTTCTGCTGCATATGTATTTTTAAATTTTCCAATTGATATACGCAATACTTCTGGAAATCTGACGCATTGACTATCAAAATAAGTGAAACAAAACAAACGTTTATTTCTATAAATCGCCGAGAGAAGCAAAGAATAATAATAAAATATTTGGGGTAAATAAATAGCGGAAAAGAATTTGTTAAAAATTAAGAAATTAATGTGAATATGCAATAATTTTTTTTTTTTTTTTTTTTTTTTCAAAGTCGGAGAGAATGTGAAGAAACAGTTTGCATTGAAAAATTACGTCAGAGGGGAAATTTGTAAATTACATATTGTAAAAAGGCGAGGGATACATATGTTTTCAACAGTCTTAGAGTAATTGCAACAATCAGAGGTAATCAATATCGTCGATCATTTCGTTTTAGTCGATTCTTTACCGTCGTTTTAATTGGTCGCTTCCAAGCGTCCGACATCGCGACGTTTAAAATAATCGATAGCGATATTGATTTCCATGTCATGCTATAGCGTGACTTTATGAAAAGAAAAGAAAAAAGATGATCGTATAAGAGTGAAACTTGGCCACCTCTGATGTCCATAAGTCGAAATGGAATATTCCAAACATAATATTAACATCGTCTAACATAAATATATTTGTTTGCTCTTTTAACATAATAATTGATTTCTTTACATTTTAATGTGTTTGTTCCTTTTGAAATATTTATACATACATAATATATCTATATATATAAATAATTGCAAAACATTTTGAAAAAATGAAATAAAAAAATCATTTAAATACACAGTGAATGTTTGTACGCGTAAAGAATTAAATCCTATAGTTGAAACAGAATCTTCTATCGTTCGGAATGTCTACGAGGCAGAGGCAGATGGCAAAGGAAAAGTAATCATAGGTTAGCAAATGGTATATATTTCATATACACACATTTATGCATACACTGTCACATTCTTGTTAAACATAACAATATATAAACTTCATAATTTTCTTTTTGATTTAAAAGTAACAATAATTTGCACTCTGTTTTAGTTTATAATAAAATTAATTAATCCTCTTATACATATATATGTATATATATATATATATATATATATATATATATATATATATATATTTTAAATTCAACAAATACTTGTTGCACTGTGTTACTATGCACTTCTCTAGTAGTTGTACACATTGATTTGATTATTCGTATATTATTATTATTATTATTATTGTTATTATTATATCATTTTTATTGCTATTATTACATTATTGCTCATTTTAGATATTGCAACGAATCGTATACATATATATGCCTTATTTTGTTTTTATCACTCTTATTGCCGTCACTATCAAGCTGGCATGAAATTTTGTCCATGTATATAAATATGACGAAATTGTGAATGGAAAATTAACGCAAAAACTGATAACTGAAAACTGTACTTAACTTGGGCCTTGTACTTCTTTTGTTCACAATTTGAAATATTAATTATGCTCAAACAGGTCTGTTCTCAAATTATAAAATCCCTTTGTGAGTTGAAATCCCTTTAATTATGAAACTTGAGGTGAAATATTTGCTCGATATGAATATATGAAACATTTACTAATACCATTTGATGGACCCACCATGACCATTTAATGGACCCACGAACACTTCCCCTATTTGTATTCAAAATTATGAATTTAATCAAAACTAGAAATTTTAAGCGTATAATTTTGATTTCATCAAAGAGAATTTATGTAGAATGTGAATCGACGCGATTCGAATTCGATGGTCAGTCTTTTTAACAGTCTCCGAAATGGCTTTTAAAGAATAGACCGATGCGTGCACAAATTTGTGTAATCATTATTTACATCAATTTTCATCATAATAGAGTAAAAACATTAATTTTATTGCCGTTTAAAGACTTTACTTCTTCTAGAATTCTTAAATGGGAGCAAGCTTAAATAATGATAACAATTCCAGATAAGTTTTCAAAATTTATGTAATATGTTCAAATAATTTTTTCATCGATTTTTGCAAAAGAACAAAAATATTACAAAAGCAAACTTCATATAACGTATTTTCAAAATAGACAAAGAAGAAGAAGAAGAAGAGGATGTATAGGTAATTGTGTAGTGAAAATTGTCCGATTGAATTTATTTAATTAGTACATTAATCAATTTATTTAGTAAATGATTCCCAGTCGATTGTTATAATAAAAGATAAATCTATCTCCACGTTTCCTACCTGTATATACAAGTTTGTAAAGACTTAATATCTATTTATCACAATTAATGCACAATGTAAGAATCCTAGCGGAATGAGGACTTCAAATGGGAGAAAAGAAAGAATAATTTCTCAATATATCATATATATATATATATGTAAATAGGCTTCGAACTCGAGATTTTAATAAACAAGTGAGAGAATTATATTTGGCCGCCATTGAATCTTTTATACTCATCCCCGTTGTTCTAAGAACAAGTACACTTTCATACTTGATAATATTAGTGATGCTATTAGGATGTGAATGGTTTTTTTTTTTTTTTATTTTTTTTTTTTTAGAATAAAAGTTAAACTTTGTATTTGGTGTAGTTTATGAGTAACAAGAGAAAAAAACGCGGAAAGCAAAGGCGGTTTGGGGTTAATTTCAAATTCTTTAGCAAATTTGTACGCGATATCTTCTTCTGCTTCTTGCGAGTAGGGGGAATGTTTTCAACCCACATCATACAATTGAGCAAACGGACGAATGGATAGACGAACCGATGAACCGATGCTTAGAGGTGCATTCTGAACTGAAAACTGGCCACGAACGCATATAACCTTTTGGGGGGTTTTAAAGCATGCTTTTGCACGTTTTAAAGGCATTATAAAAAAAAATTAAATTTTGATACACTATAACATTGGTTAGACGTGGTCAATTTTTCTCATTGCTCACTCTCAGCTGCTACGGCATCGCCCATAGCGTGTATGTTCAAATTCTTGTAGATTTAATTGCTGCGGCTTAGTTTAGGAGTAGTGAGCAAAAACCAATTATTTATTCCTCGGGTAAAACAAAGGAGTTCTCAGCTTACGCGGTACTGTACGCGCGTCCTTTAACCCATTTGGTGCATTTTCAATATCAGCTTGCGTGCAAAAACTTCTAACATTTCTGTCAAATTTAAAAGCAATTAGTTCATATTTGCGGCTAGGAGTATATTTACAATAGAGAGTACACAGACGGATGGACAGACAGGCTTAAATTGATTCAGAACTATATACACTTGTTCGGATCTCTGAAACTTCCTTGTAGGTGTGCAAACATTTTGACAAAATAAACATGCCCTTCCTCCTACGGTGATGGGTATAAAGACCCCATAGTTAACTAAACGTTTCTAGATGTAAACCGTTCTACGTGAATTTAATATCTGAACACAGTTGATTGACCAATAACAAGATTATCTTCTAATCTGTTATCCCTTAGAAGAACAAACTTGAAGAGATAAACATGAGAAACAGAATGCATTGAATAAAAGTTTTTTTTTCTCTCTAATGCTTAAAAAACAATCGAACCAAGATGCGTTCAATCTCCCGAAAAAAAACCTTGGCATCAATTCGAACAGTTATTTAATGTATGAGCTTCCACGACAGTTACGAGTTTATATATATATATATGTATATATATATATATGTATATATGTACGCTCAGAAAGGGTTTAAATTCAATTTAAATTAAACTAAACTTTCGATTAATACGATATTTCAGGAACAAATGTTATATGAATAGTTTGAAGCATTCGATTATTCTTCTTTTTCCAGCTAACCTAGTGGTGGATAAAAGAGAGACTTGGCCAAAGTTGAATTTGATTTTGTTTTGTCTGCAAATTAATCTCATTTTTTACTATTGTTATGAAAGTTTTTTTAACTATATGTTTGATTTAATGTAGAATGAATGCTACATCCTCAGATTTGGTGTGAGCGAATTTCTTTAAATATATATATATATATATATATATGTATATATATGTATATATATATATTGTAGCACACAATACACATACATGAAATTGATTAAATATAAACACAAGTATCTAATTGTTAGTTTAAATGCATGGACGTACTCTTTTTTTCATATATCAAGCTAATGAATACTTATATGATAATTAAAAAAAATTATTGGCTAAAAATATTGTCTTTCCCTAAAATTAGGAACATATTTACCCATTCCTTTACTGCCGTAAGCGCGTAATCTAAATTCTTTTCTGGTAGCTTTATGCGTGCATTACATAAAAACGCACATGCCTACTACACACACGGATTTGGTATATAAAAACAAAAAACATTTATACTTTTATATTGTTCTCTTACATATTTACACAAATCTTGTTTTTTAACTGTATTCCAATCTATATGTCTGTTTTTTCTTTTTGTTGTCATAGACGCACATTTACAAAAAAAAAAAAAAAAAAAAAAAAATAAAAAAAAAAAAATTAATTACTTTATGATGTCTAATCGCAATTTTAACATTAATACATTTCATGCTATCGAAAACTGTTAGGTGTGGATTGGAAATCCCTTACTATACCGGCCTGTTTGCCAATCACGACTGATTATTTTCCTGATAAACGTTCTTTACATAACGATTACGTGATATCCGATTACACTTTATTGCCGGATGATGTCAATTTTGATTATGCAAATAGTCGTGCCGTTTATCGGAAGCCATTATCTACTGAGGAAGTGTTCACCGAAATTGTATCACAACGTTTGGCTCAAGGTTTTCAATTAATAATATTTGAAGAGAAATCAAATGGATCGCCAGCTCAGGCACCCTGTTGCGGTGGCTTAAAGCAACAGCGTTTAACATCCGTTTTAAATATGAAACTCGGTCAAGAGATATCCAAAGAGTATCTATTATCAATTGGTAGAATATTTCATAAAATATCGTTGAACGGTTCGGTAATAACAGTAACTGGATACAGACCAAGGTAATCAGTCATAAAAAGTCATATTTTATATATGTGATTGCGTAAACTTTCCTGCTTTGTTTGTTTTTTTGTTTATTCTTCTCATCTCTCTATTAGGCATCCGTATCCACCAATTAATGTTGACTATAGGTATCGATTTCATGCACCACAACATGAAACCTATGAAATATCGGGCGTTAATTTTAAAACGGAAAAATTGGAAAATTTTAATTGGAATTATATGGATCACTATATATGCACACGTGGTGATATTGATTATCCCCTAATGGAGGTATAAATGTTAAATATAAACATTAAAATGATCTCTTTTATTAATAATTAGTGCATTAATATGCAAAAAAACCAAAAAAAAAAAAAAAAAAAAAATCGAACAATCAAAAATAGAGCTTAAAATATTGGCGTTATCGTATGTATCTGCTGCCGAAAGAGAATAAAGCGATGAATAAAATTATTGATAATGGCTGTCAATATTGTGATGTTTATACGGATTTGACCTTAGATAATACCAAACAACAAATTGATGAATTTATGCGTTTTATGGAATTGCATATAAATAAATTGAAACGTCGTAAAACACGGGTAAGTTAATATTCATTTAATTTTAATTTAATTTTTTTTAACCCTAAAAACCAACAATTCTAAACATTGTTTATTATATATTATTTTATTTCATTTGCTTAATAATGCATATTTAAAACGTTCTACCAATGTATGTATGTATTAACGTATGTATGTATGTATGTATGTATGTATGTATGTATGTATGTGTATAAAATTGTAAATACATTTTACTTAAATACTTCCTGCACTCACCACCGAAAAGACGCATTTATTTCACTTGTACGCGAATCTATTCGCTCATAACAATTCTTATATGATTTTTAAATTGAACGAGTACGATACGAGTTCTCTTCTCGAACGTTAAGTTCAATAAGTCAGTCGAAATTTTAAATGAAAACTTTAGAGAAAAGCCCGTAACGTAATAAAATCGGATCGTCAAGAGCACTCTCGCGTTACACGAAATATTTGTTTCAATATTTTTTAGAAAATATTCTCGATTTCCTGCCGTCTGTAAGACTACTTCTTGATTGCTTGCTTATCCGAACAGTTCTGAACATCACAATATGATGACATTATCGCGGATTGTAAGTTATTATGTGAATTTCCGATTAATATGTTGAAACATGGAAAGGACGACATAATGAAAACTTTTTAACTCAGTTTGTTGGTAATCTTTGATCACTTTTAAAATGTTTCTAAATATCATGATTTTAATCGGGCTAAAATTTTGAATTTACAAAAAAAAAAAAAATGATCTATAAAAAGTGACAGAATTTAAAGATCAATGGGAAAGAAGCGAGCAGCCAGGGAAGCTCGTCGGGTGGTGAGTGTGCAAAGCATCGGCTTTTAAGACGAGCATTGCTTGTTTGAATGTTAATAAATTTTTTTTTTTTTTTCTTAATATGTTTTATTGTTGCTTTTTGCCTTATGTTTTGAGTTGGTATCGTTTACAGGACAGTCCCATCGCACAAAGTCATCTAACAAGAAGACGTCACAGTACCAGCATAATCTCCAGACCTCCACCTAATCAGGTTCTCTAATTCAAACTCTATATACTCTTAAACAAACGTTTTAATATATGATTTTTATAACAATTTTTCATTTTCCAAGCAATCTGTCTAAATATAAAAATTTTTTTCATTTTTTTGTGTTTCGTCCCTTCGACATTACCATAATTATGTCCTTTGTCTGGTTCTCTTGATTCTTTTTCTTATATTTTTTTTTTTTCTTTTCTTCTATTAAAAAAATTTTTTTTAATATTTTGTTTCTTTTTTTTTTTTTTATTATTATTGATCTTTTAGGTTAAATAAGAATTTATTAAAATTTTCCTTATGTTTTTCTTCAAATATGATATTTAGGGCCTTACAAATTCTCCATTTCGGGAACGTGTGGGCAGCAATCGTTTACCTGAAAAACGTCCAAGGTTTTTATTAAAACTTTTATTCACTTACATCTTCTCGTTTTTTTTTTTTTTTTAACCTGTTGACGGGCTCGACTTGTTTAAAATCGTTGTTTAGCTTTCATTTATTTATCAATATATTTATTTATTGTTTGTGTTAATTAT